GGGGGGTGGGGGAGGGGTGGGGGGAGGGGAGGTGGGGGAGGGGCAATGGTGAAATGAGTCGAGCGAACCAATCCAATTAAACCAAATTAAATCAAATTAACCCAGCCCAAGTTAATTAAAGCCAACTTAAACAATCTGAACCCATCCCAATTAAACCCAAATCAAGCAAATTAAATCAAATCAACCAAACCCAACCAATCCCAACCAACTCAGCCCAACCAAACTCAACCAATTCCAACCCAACCAAACCCAACTAAACCAACCCAACCCAACCCAACCAAACCAACCCAATTAAACCAATCCCAACCAAACCCAACCCAACCAAACTCAATCAACCCAACCAAACCCAACCAATCCCAACCAACTCAGCCCAACCAAACTCAACCAATTCCAACCCAACCAAACCCAACTAAACCAACCCAACCCAACCCAACCAATCCCAATCCAACCTAAACCCAACTAAACCAACCCAACCAACCAAACCAACCCAATTAAACCAATCCCAACCAAACCCAACCAAACTCCATCAAACTAACCAATCCCCACTGGACTCAACTTAACCAAATCAAACCCAACCCAACCAAACCCAACCCAACCCAACTAAACACAACCAAACTCAACCAAACTCAATCAACCCAACCAATCCCAACCGAACCCAGCTTAACCAAACCCAACTCAACCCAACCCAACCCAAACAACCAAACACAACCAAACTCAACCAAACTCAACCAAACCCAACCAAACCAACCCAACCCAACTAAACCAAACCAAACGCAACTCAACCAACCCAACCAATCCCAACTCAACTAAACCGACCCAACCGAACCCAACCCAACTAAACCAAACTCAACCAAACCCAACCCAACCCAACCAAACCAAACCCAACTCAACCATGACCCAACCCAACCCAACCAAACCCAACTCAACCCAACCCAACCCAAACAACCAAACACAACCAAACTCAACCAAACTCAACCAAACCCACCCAAACCAACCCAACCCAACTAAACCAAACCAAACCCAACCCACCCATGACCCAACCCAACCCAACCAAACCCAACTCAACCCAACCCAACCCAAACAACCAAACACAACCAAACTCAACCAAACTCAACCAAACCCACCCAAACCAACCCAACCCAACTAAACCAAACCAAACCCAACCCACCCATGACCCAACCCAACCCAACCAAACCCAACCCAACTAAACCAAACCAAACCCAACTCAACCATGACCCAACCCAACCCAACCAAACCCAACTCAACCCAACCCAACCCAACCCAACCAAACCCAACTCGACCAAACCCAGCCCAACCCAGCCAATCCCAACCCAACTAAACCGAATCCAACCCAACCCAACCCAACCCACCCCACCCCCCCCCCTCCCAGCCCCTCCCCCTCCCCACCTGTCCTTGGCCTCCCCCACCATGTCCAACGATTGGCTCAGGAACTCCTCCAGGTCGAAGCCGACGCCGTAACCGGCGCCGCTTCCCTTGGGCGTCACCGGGAACACCGGCGGCAACGGATCCTCCACCTGCGGTGGGGGCGCGGCCGTGAGCGACGGGGGCGGAGCCGCCCCCCCGGGGCCCCTCCCCCGAGCCCCTCCCCCGCCCCCTCACCTGCGACTTCTGGAGCTGCTGCGTCACCGTGGCAACGTCGGCGTCGCCGCCGGTTTCCGGCCACGCCCCCGCGGCCGGCCACGCCTCGGCGGGCGGGGGCGGGGCGACGCAGGCGGGAGGGGGCGGGGCCGGGCGGGGAAGGGGCGGGGCCGGCTGTCGCGGCGGGGCGCCGTCGGCCATCTTGGTCCAGCGCTCCAGGAGGTGGCGGTCGTCGTCGGTGAGGACCAGGCCGTGGAGCCCCTCCCCCCGTGGGCGTGGCTCGCGGCGCTCGCGCTCGCGCTGCTTCTTCTCGCGCTCCTTGGCGCGCTCCTGGCGGCGCCGGCGCTTCTCCTCCCGCTCGCGCTGGCGCTCGGCCGCCGTCACCGGCTTGCGGCCCTCGGGGGCGTCCGGGGCGGGGCAGGGCGGGTCTGGGGTGGGGGGCGGGGCGGGGCGAGGAGGAGGAGCCAATCAGGGCTTGAGCCAGCCCGGCCCCAGCGATGGCGGCCTTGATCGCGCAATGACGTCATCGATGACGCAATGATGTCATCGGTGAGCTCACCGAAGAGCCAGTGATGTCATCAATGCCCCTCAGCCAATCAGAGCTCGACCCAACCAATGACCCCATTGATCACCCAGTGATGTCATCAATGACCCAATGACATCATCAAAGACAGAATGACGTCATCAATGAACCAATGATAACATCAATGCCCCAACCAATCAGAGCTCAACCCAGCCCAACCATTGATCACCCAATGACGTCATCAATAACCCTGTGATGTCATCAATGACATCAACGACCCAATGACATCATCAATGCCCCGCAACCAATCCCAGCTCAGCCCAACCCAACCAATGACCCCATTGATCACCCAATGACGTCATCGATGACCCAACGACATCATCAACGACCCCAACCAATCATAGCTCAACCCAACCAATGACCCTGTCCAGCACTCAATGACGTCATCAATGACCCCATGATGTCATCAATTATCCGATGACGTCATCAATGACCCAGTGACGTCATCAACGTCCCAACGACCTCATCGATGACCCCACCGACGACCCAATGATGTCACCAACGCCCCCCGACCAATCAGAGCTCAACCCAACCAACGACCCCATCGATCACCCAATGACGTCACCAACGCCCCCAACCAATCCCAGCCCCTCCTCACCTTTGCTGCGGTTCCTCATGGCCGACTTCAGCAGCGCCGCCTTCAGCGCCGCCTTGGTGTCGTCAGAGATGGCGCCGTCCCTCTTGGGCGCGGCCGCCGCCGCCGGCCCCGCCCCCGGCTCCGCCTTCACCCGCGGCGACTCCATCGGGCAGTCGGGGGCGGGGCCCGGGCTGGGCATGTCCACGTCGGCGCACGCCGGCCACGCCGGGCCGGCCGCCATGTTGACGTTAGCGCCGGCCATCTCGACGCCGGCGTCCGCCATCTTGGCGCCGGCGTCCGCCATCTTGGCGCCGGCGTCGGCCATTTTGACGCCGGCGCCCGCCACGTTGACGCCGGCCACGTCGGCTTCGGCCGTTTTGACGCCGACGTCCGCCATGTTGGCGTCGGCCATGTTGGCGTCGGCCATTTTGGCGCCTCCCGCCGGCGCCGGCGCGATCTGCCGCCGGATGCCGTCGCGCCGGGCGTGGAAATCGGCGATCTCGGCCACGATGGCCGCCTTGATCTCCTCCTTGGTCAAGGCCTGCCGGTCGAAGGCGAAGTCGAAGGCCGGCACGCACTCGGGCTCGTCCTCGGGGTCGTGGTACTTGGCCAAGAACGGGTGACGCAACGCCTCGGCCACGCCCACCCTCTCCCTCGGATCGAACCGCAACATCCGCCCCAACAGCGCCAACGCCGCCGGCTCGGCCGCGCCGAAAAGACTCTCCCACGGCACCGCCGGCCGCGGCGGCAAGCTCTGCACGTAGGCCCGGACGCGCTCGGCGCCGATGGCCGCCATGACGCCGGCCGGCGGCGTCCCCAGCACCGCCATGATCAGCTGGAGCTGGTGGACGTAATTCCGACCGGGAAAGAGCTGCCGGCGTCCCAGCATCTCGGCAAAAATACACCCCACCGACCACATGTCGATGGCGCGGGTGTAGCGGTGCAGCGACAGCAGCAGCTCCGGCGCGCGGTACCAGCGCGTGGCGACGTATTCGGTGAGGAACGCCTTGGCCTGGCGCGGGTCGGCGCCCAGGCCGCGGGCCATGCCGAAATCGCCGATTTTCAGCTCGCAGTTCTCGTTGACCAGCAGGTTGCTGGGTTTGAGGTCGCGGTGGAGGACGTTGGCGCTGTGGATGTACTTGAGGCCGCGGAGGAGTTGGTAGAGGAAGTAGCGGACGTGCTCCAGGGTGAGGGGTTGGGAGGAGTGGATGATCTGGTGGAGGTCGCTCTCCATCAGGTCCAGCACGACGTAGCTGGAGGGGGGCGGGGATGGTGGTCATTGGGGCGGTGGTGGCCACGGTGGTGGTGATGGTGATGGTGGTGGTGGTGGTGGACCATGGTGGTGGTGGCCACGGTGGTGGTGATGGTGGCCATGGTGATGGTGATGGTGGTGGTGATGGTGGTGGTGATGGTGGTGGACCATGGTGGTGGTGGCCATGGTGATGGTGGTGGTGATGGTGGTGGTGGTTGTGGTGGTCATGGTGGCCATGGTGGTGGTGGTGCCAACCCAACCCAACCCAACCAATCCCAATCCCAACCAAAGCAACCCAATTAAACCCAAATCAACCAAATTAAATCAAATAAACCAAACTCAACCATGACCCAACCAAACCCAACCCAACCCAACTCAATCAACCCAACCGAACCCAACTCAACCAAACCCAACTCAACCAAACCCAGCCCAACCAAACCCAACCCAACTCAACCCAACCCATCCAACCCAACCAATTAAACCCAAATCAACCAAATTAAATAAAACCCAACCCAACTCAACCCAACTCAATCAACTCAACCAAACCCATCCAACCCAACCAAACCCAACTCAACCAAACCCAGCCCAACCCAACCAAACCCAGCCCAACCAAACCCAACCAAACCCAACTCAACCAAACCCAAATCAACCAAATTAAATCAAACCAAACCCAACCCAACCCAACTCAACCCAACCCATCCAACCCAACCAAACCCAACTCAACCAAATTAAATCAAACCAAACCCAACCCAACCCAACTCAACCCAACTCAAGCAACTCAACCAAACCCATCCAACCCAACCCAACCCAACTCAACCAAACCCAACTCAACCAAATTAAATCAAACCCAACGAAACCCAACTCAACCCAACCCAACCAAGCCCAACTCAACCAAACTCAACCAAACCAACCAATTAAACCCAAATCAACCAAATTAAATCAAACCCAACTCAACCCAACCCAGCCCAACCCAACCCAACCAAACCTAAATCAACCAAACCCAACCAAACCAAACCCAACCAAACCCAACCCAACCCAACCCAACCAAGCCCAACTCAACCAAACTCAACCAAACCAACCAATTAAACCCAAATCAACCAAATTAAATCAAACCCAAGCAAACCCAACCCAACTCTATCAACTCAACCAGCCCAACCCAACCAAACCCAACTCAACCAAACCCAACTCAACCAAACCCAACTCAACCCAACCCAACCCAGCCCCACCCCACCCA